TTTAACGATAGAGGTATGGTTCCTTGGGCAAATTTTCTTGGGATGACCCATAGAACACGGAAATCATAGGTATTTGGTCGATTTTTTTCACTCCCTACAAATCGACCCGCCCTAATGAATATATTGATATTGAGTAAGAAAATTCGGTGAAATCGGTGAAATACTTGAATCAAACATAAACGTTTGAAAAACGTACGACGCGCGCCAAAGCATAAGTGATGTCAAAGTGTGTACAAAGAGTGAAGCAATAGTGCGTTTAATGCTATGTGCTATAGTGTCTCTGTTGATGTTGATCGCTGACGTTTATAGTGGTAGGAGAAAACAGTGAAAGGTTTGTGACATTACACTAGCGCCAACGAATAAATTCAATGACAGATACGGCAGAATTCGTAACTACTTTTCACCATAAACTCTGGGGTGAAAAGAGCTATCAGTTAATCAGTACGAAGATAGCTATTAATTTGTAATTTATACGTTACTATCGTCCACTGCACAGAACATAATTGATAATTTTTGACCTACCCTTGTTGATCGTACCATTTTTATCACAGTCCGAAATAAAATAAAATAAAATTGGTAATGCCAACAGAGGTGCAGAGGATAGCGCAGAACGACCGCGTGCGAGTGAAGGTCCTCTGCTCTATCCTCTCCACCTAGCTATCAGAAAATACTACTAATAAGCCATCTACGGAGTCGCCGCCCTGATAAACTATCAGTGCATTTAGCGCTTCAGTACAACAACAAATATGTATATTTGTGCATCATTTGCAAGGTATTGGCGATATAGGTGACGAATGAATAGTATTTTCGAGCAATAGTATTACCCTCCGGTTCTATGGAATGGGACTTTGACCTAATTTTTCTGCGTTTTTGGTTTTATTATTATTATTATTATTTATTTGGTTTCTTCATGCTTAAATATAGTTGTACAATGATTGAGATTTACTAATTTAAATGACTTTACAATTTATGACCACACTATACACGGAACAATATAAAGATTTCTTTCTTTCATCATTACATGTTATGGTATTTGGAGATTTTTTTTCGGAATTTTTTTTCGAGATTTTTTTGCGGTATCTTAGATTCGGAATTTTTTTTGTCTGTGTTTTTTTCTCGAGTTTTGGATCCGGCGATTTTTTTCGGTGTTTTTTTCGGCGTTTTGCTGTTTCGGAATTTGAATTTTCTTCATTTTGTGTAGTTACCGTTTTTTTGTACAATTTCACGCGAAAAAAAATTTAAAATACGAAAGATTAAAAAAAACCACAGAAAGTTTGAGTTTATTTTCGAACTCTGTTAAATTTACCTAAAAATGAACATTAGTGTGGATCAAAAATGAATTAAATTTATTTGAAATCTTTGATTTTATTCATCTCCGTCTTCATCTTCATCATCGATTCCGAAGTGTTCACAAGATTCTTTGATGTTTCGGTCGACAGTCGGTTTCTAATGTCATTGTGTACATATGCCTAGTTGGAGAATAACCGTTCAAGCTGTACAGTAAATGCGGAAATTTTCAATTGGGCGGCGAAGTACCAGAACGTTTTTGGTGAATTGACTTTTTTTTCGATCCTGCGCCTTTTGAAAATTCACGTAACGATTCAAGCTCAGCTCCTTCGAGCTTATCAAAAACGTAGCTTGTAACTTGCTTACGTTGATCCTCATTCAAACTTTTGCCGCGATAAATCGGATGAAAAAAATTGGCCATCATCGTTACATCGTTTAAAATGTTGCTCTGATATGAGTGATTCCAATTCGATTCCACTTTTGATGTGTCAAGCTGCGAACAGTTAGTCGTTTATACATACACAAACATTTAACGTAAAAGATCTGACATTTTTCTCTCTGTGAAAATATCATACGACCACTAAAACATGCCTAAGCCGCTATCGCTTGATTCATCCTTCATCTCGTTTACTCTTGTTCTTTCATCACATTTCAGCCTGTCAAGTGTCCAAGTGTGTGTGCTCTTATTTACTTTCTCTTGTTCTTTTATTACGTTTCCCCTTCTACATTTGGAGTGTATCCATAAGCTATAACGCTGGAGAATGCGCGTATGTATTATGCATACTTAATGAATACAGAGAATACTAGGGGCTGCGATCAATTTTTTTGAATAAGCTTTAATATAACAAATAATGATAATTTGCAACGATTCTATGACCTTTTGCGAATATTTCGCCGATATACTAATATTTCGTACTAAAATTGGTAGAGATATTTAGGTGACGCGTACTTAATCTATTGCTCAAGAACCGCGTACTTAAGTACTTATTTATCAGTAGACTTATCATGTCATTTCTCGTGTCATTTATTTGTTGTTGATGATATCAGCATCAATTCTAAAGAACATTTAAAGCTATCGACCAGTACTACGGCAAATAAGTACTAGCTTAAGTACGCGGCACTTAAACTTTATCAAGTTTCATGAACTAAACACAATTTAGCTTAGGTACAGCGTGTTAACCAAAAGTACGTGGCACTTTAACGTGAATTTAAACGAATTCGCTGATGTATTGTTATTTTTCAAAAATAAGTGTTTATCAGCATATTGGCGGATATCGGCGTACATCGGTCTCTATTGTTCTATATTTTTATGTTGATTTCACATTAAATGTACACGATTGACACGAATATTCAATTTATTTGACCAATTCACACCGATATACCAATGAATAGCGATGAAAAGCCAATAACATAGATAATAGCGTACGATCAATTGATATTTTCCCCTAGAGAGAATATCAGTGATGGTTTTTCGTTAGCCAGCATTGTCTTAGTCTTGGCTTACACCAACAACTGGTGTAAGCCAATCGTTAGCCAGCTATCTGTGTGAAATGAGTACATTCAAAGTATAATAATTTTTGATTTGCGTATTCTGATTCAAATCATACAAATTTTAAAAAAAATTATTATATTTCAATTAATTTTCAATTTAAAAGTCATTTTTATAATTTGAATTATTTTTTTTCAAAAACTTATTATTTAAACTCTGACCTGGTGATTTAAATGTCAGTCACGAACGTCAGTTCAGATGATTGCGTTCAGTTCTTACTGAAGTTTTTTCACTGGTCTACACATTCGTTAGCCAGTATACACTTATGCGGCTAATTAGCCAGCTAATTGGTTCTTCACTGGAGAATATCATTTAATGAGTCGTACTGTGTATTTTTGAATATTTAGGAGTTTTTGACATGAACGAGGTTTTCGACCGTCGAAAACGTCGAATACGGTTTTCGACGTCATTTACTTACAATCGCAAGAAATCGTGTCACATGCCATCCCTGTCGTCTACGCTTTCCCCATCATCTTATCGCCAGGAAAGCCCACTTTTATTTTATTTTGAACTATGAAAATGGTACGGTGAACAACGGTGAGGAGTTCCACAGGACCTTTAGTCGCGCGCTCGTTTAGTCCTATGGAGCACCTCACCGTTGTTCACCGTACCATTTTTTGCAGTACAAAAGTAATTTGCGGATATTTACTTTCATCGGCGGCTGAAAGTAATTCATCAATATTTCCTGTTAGCCGTGCGGCTCAAAGTGATTTTGATTGGCGGTCGCAAATGCATTCTACATGCAGCGGCTCAACGAAAGTTCTATAAAATACAATTCAGCCGCCAACGAAATCACATTTCAGCCGCCGCGGCTCAACGAAAATCCCACCAAATACAATTCATCCGCGACTGAAAATAACTTTCGGCCGCATCTATTTTTGGTTGGCGGCCCAACGAAATTCGTGAAAGAAAGGTTTTTGCTTCGGCGGCTGAACGGTAGGCGGCCGAAATACAAAACCCCAAATGTTCGCCATTTAGTGTAACATTGCCAATACATTAGTTAAGGGGATTTTTGTTTTGTTTTGTTTATTTTCTGTTGATTATAAACAAATCTGACTATCTTTTTGGATTGCCACTGTGCATATTATATGTCCATAAGAAGTACATATGTAGAGACAAATTAAAACAAAAGATTTTGCTTAATAATTGCGAAACGGAATAAGTTGTATGTATGAACAGTAGAATTCAATGGAATAAAATTCTAACTATTTTGAACCTTGTTTGTACATTGGTTGTTGCTCTTGTTCTCCCCCACTTCTCCTTTGTCCTTTGAGAGTCTGCTCCTATTATTAGTGTTGGTTTTTATTAGTGCTATCATGTGCACCGCATGACATCATCTACTTTCATAGATCAAGCTAGCATACACTGATGACACAGTGCAACAATTTGAAAAAAATTGAAACGACTGGAACTTGGCATATTGGAAGTATTAGAACTACTAGTTTGGTTTTCATTTTATCGTTCTAGGCAGTTTGTGTGATTTGGAGCATTTTTCAGAATTGACCTCTTGGATTTTTATGCCTAGGTCGATAAAATAAAAACCGGTACTAAACTTTCATAACGCACCTAGGGTTTTACTTAGCTATGGTAGTATTGACACATCTAATATGCTAAGTCTCAGTCGCCTCACCTATTTTGCACAGTGTATTGATTACAACAACGAATCGCATCAACAATAAGCCTTCTTTTGTTTTTTTTTTCATTCAAATGTCTACGATACGGTTAGGTCATGTCAAAACCAAGATAAACGAATATAAAATCAAGATAAAAACGTGATCCGATAGCATGAGACTTTTTGCGTCACAGAAATATGTATGTGCTTTACATGTTTATTCATATTTAAATGATTGAAACTTGCAATTTTGACTACTTTCAGGCGTTGTTCTTGTGTTTTTCAATGCAATCGAAATATAAATTTTGTGATTACATGTTAGTTCATGAATATTTTCACTAGTTTCGCTCTTGTCACATTCTGTACATTCAGTGACCATAAGAATCAATGTATTTTTGGTTTTGGCTGTCGGATCGTGGATAAAAAGTCTTATTCGTCTTATAAACTGAAGATAAATGTTCCTGATATTCCAGCCCAAAAGTCATAAAAACGCTTTGAATCTATTTCCCCACATTTTCTAAATGTTTTTTTTCTTTTTGTTCTGTTTTTCAGGATAACCTAACGGGCCAGGCGATATCAGATGTTTGTTTCGCACGACTTAATTTGATTGAAACAGCATATTTTGGTTTACGCTTTTTGGATGAAGAGAATCAAACGGTAAGTACATACATTTTACTAGAAAAACGATTTTACTTGTTGGTTTTCTCGAAAAAAGGGCATCTCTAAAGCGGAAATGCCCGAATAAAATTCAATAAACACTTTCAAAAACCTTCATTTACTTATGTCATAACTTATAACATGATTGAGTCTAAATATAAATAGCATTGGCTGGATCAAACGACAAGAATATCGCGTCAGTTAAAAAGCTCCAAAGACGTTTATGAATTATATTTTGGCGTTAAGTTCTACGCAGCCGATCCAACAAAACTCATTGAAGAGATAACGCGGTAAGTATTTTTTATGGATTCAATTAGATTTATTAATTATAACAAACATTTTCATGGATGGATGTAGGAGCAGCACTATGACGTGATTTAATTTAACACAAAACTGAAGTGTTTTGATGCATGCGTTGCTGTTTTCGCACTCAAAATAAAAACTTACCGCTAATACGCTCGAATTAAATTGTAAACTATTATACGATTATCCAATCTCGCCATATTTGGGAAAAAAGGGTCTGAGTGTCAAATATTGCCGCCAAAATGTGTGGCGCTGTTCGTTTGACAGCTACTGATTGATGCTACCGGGACGCAATTAACAATTAACAATTATCTCTCGCTTAGGCTATGAACCAGAGCATGAATATAATAATGGATAAATTGGTACAAGTGAACAAGAAAAGGGAAAAATACTTTTTTTTTCTATCTGCACCTCGAGTTATTGATATCAGTCAACAACTATAATTTGTAACTGCTTCATTTATATGTATATACCCGAACGCTATCAATCTTCATATAATTTCGTTAAGTTCTCTGTTCGCAACTTTGTGCATTCATATCTAATATATTATTCAAGCAAAATTTGAAATCAACGAACCATGCAATGAAACACCGGGGGGCCTGAATGATTTTCAGAATGAATGCTCGAGCTTAAATCGCCATGGTCCGACACATCAATTATGTTGCTACAGACACTGTGTACGACTATATTTAATTTTCTCGTTTGCGAATTTGCCAAAATGCACAGTTTCAAGCACTGGACCGGCATTTCATTTCCTTCAGATCACCTTCATGCGTCGTAAAGAATCAAAATAAGCGAATAAATAGACCAAAATTAATTACTGCACTTGATTCATCTGGAGAAGGAAAACTCCCAGTTTATGCTGAAATATACTTGGTTATGCTTTTGATGGCAAATGGTTTTTTTTATTATTAAAATGATAATAACCAATGGGACCATACAGCCAATCCAAATACATTGATGTCAGCGTATGAACTTTCTTCTAAAACTTTACGAATAAAGCATGAGAATACAGCGTGGCGTCACTATCTTTCCCAAATATATCATTGAAGTCAATGGAATACACAAGAATCCAAAAGCACGGAAACAGATGGCGCCTCTATGAATCCCATACGCAACCTACTTCTCAAATGAGTCTAGATTGAAAATAACACAAATATGGACGATAAGATTATTCCTAGTGAGAATACATTGCAAGGGGCAATATTTCAGAAGTTTTTACTAGTTTTGTATTCGGCTTATATTTAAAAATAGCGTTCATAAAATATTGGCTGAGCTGAAAGTGAAAATTGTGGAGCAGGTGGTCCCGACCTGGTCCAATGTATTCTGGAAGTGAGGTCCTACAGTAGGCATCCCATTGGAATGCTAAATCGCATTATTTTTGCCGAATTCCGCTCGGAACACTCCCAAATTTGAGTTGGCAAATCCGGAAGGGGATATGAACTTTGTACTGCAGATGCGTTACAACAACGCAACGCATGAACAATATCGGATAAATTTATTTGATATTATCAATTTATTTGAATAAATCTACGTGCAGACATACCCTGCTCTTTTCTATGTGTGTAAATTCGAATCGAATCCAACTTCATCACATTGAAAACATAATTTCAAATGGTTTTATTTAAACTTTTCATGTTGCTCATCGTTGCTAATAAGAAATAAAAACTTATTTCAAATAATTATTAAGGAGAATAATCAGCCATTGCAGCCTTTAAAATTACAACAAACTGAATTCGAATGAAGTTGATCGCAGTTCATGCATTTTGTGACAATTTATGCGGAAGGTTGGCGATATGTTTGCGTAAACGTTTTCGTAAAATTCTTGTAGGGATATTCTATACTGTATAAATATGCCAAGCATAGGCACATACGGTTGTCGAGCGGCGAAAGTATTAATAGAACCATCGATATGTTCGTTGTGTACTATATTCACATACACACTTACGCATGCGTCTCGCAATACAATGCTCTCTCAAAAATCTTGGGTAGTTCGTTTTTCGGGCTTTTAAGTTTTGTAGTTTTCTGTACAAATTTCCGATTATAATGCATTAAAATAGAAGTAAACATCAAAAACGCACATTATTTACCACTATTCAAATTCACTTGAACTGTACTCAAGGGTTTTCAAGCGACGGACATGTATATTTAGTTGAATCAATACGACGATGCGATTTATGACATTGCAAAATTTGTACCGTAATCGCACTACAAAAGAAATTAGATAAATAATTCTACATGATCAAATAATAATGGAGGAAAAACACCACATATATTTCGGTAATCTATTCATTTATTCTTTTATTTATAATATTCACCAATTTGTCCAAAATACATAAATAAATCTAAATCAAATTTCTCTGATAAAATTGTTATTGGCCGAAATATAATAATCACTTCGGAGTAAGGAAATTGTCAACACACTCAATATTATAGCGACATCTATTATTAAAATAGCTTTTAGTAAATGCATTTATAGCATTTCCCTGTAGTTGCGATGTTTCCTATTAAGTTCCCTTGTAGTACTGACACATTCATGTTTGACACTTGTTAACTACATACAACAGGGGAATTTAATAGGTAACATCGCAACTACCGTGAAATGCTATGAATGCGTTTACTACAAGCTATTTTAATAATAGATGTCGCTATAATATTGAGTGTGAAGTTTAGTTTATTTTTGGGTTTTTGAAAAATGCTTTTTGATCACACAATTGAATTTACATGAAATAAAAATATCATTCAGAAATCTTAAGAAAAACTTAAGATTTCAGAACGGTTATGGAAGCCGAAATTTGCTTCAGTTTTCTGGAAGATTCAGATTTCTGAGAGGCCACTGTACACGATCATTGCTCGACAACCGTATGCGTCTATATTTGGCATATTTATTTTGCATAGTTCTAGGTACGAACCAGTCCCTGTCATTTTCTTGTTTCACATCGTCTCCTCCCTTCTTTCTTTGTTTCTTCCTTTCGTTCCATATTCAGCTATCAATTATTTCTTCAAGTTAAACAAGATATCCTGCAGGGCCGTTTACCTATTTCATTCGAATTGGCAGCAGAGTTGGGAGCCTACATCGTACAATGTAAGTATAACGCAATAAATCTAAATAAAGATAATAATACTATTGACACCAGGGGCCTGTTGCACAGTACTGTTTCAATTTTTGTAAATTGTAATTGTAATTGTAAATACAATTCGTTGTAAAATTGTATTTACAATTCTACAATAATTGTAAAATTTCATTTACAATTTTACAATAATTGTAAAATTGTTTATCAATAATGAATGTGACAGTCAAAAAGAAAAAGCGATTGGTATCAAAATTATATTCACAATTTATAGGTTTTGTATTTATTTTTACTGAAAACTATTCTATTTCTAACCGCTTCTAAACTTCCATGGCATCGGCAAACTCAGATTAAGGATTTACAACTAATGCCATTTTGGGTCGATACAGGGCTCTGATGGTGTGCACAAATTCAGGGACCGGCTGAAATAGCATGCACAAATTACGCACAAAATATTGGAACCGGTGTGTTCCATGTAAAAGCAATATTTTTCATAGTTGACTTATATTCACCACACCCATATTCTGCGAAAATCTGGTCTGGCATTATTTGACCACATAACGCAAATCCGAAGGCATATTCATTATGCACAAAATAATTGCATATTCGAACATGCGAAAAAATGCTGCCCCGTCGAATGGTGAAAATGGCATTTACATCAAATTCACCACAGAAAGTAGAATCAAAATTTGCACATTTTTCGACTTTTTTGGGCCTTGCAAATGCATGCACAAATTTTTAAATGCCATGCACAAATTGTTTACGTAAACAGGCCACCGGTTTCCAGACCTTGACCGGCTGGGGAGGGGGAGCCCTCGCAACCAGTTGAAGCACAAACTCTGAAGTTTTGCATAGCGTCAGCACAAACTCCAAATTTCACGAAAATGATCTCAGAACAACAATTTTCCAACATGGCGGGGGGCAGTCACATTACCTAAAAAAGTTGGTGATGAAATTTTATTGATGACATCATTACATCCATTGATGTTATCGCCACATCGAAATTCGCGCTCCTTATCACTTAATTTGCACTATGTGATAAATACGAGTGACGTCAACGAAAAGTATTGTATGAAAGAGTGCCCCACGAAAAATGTTCAATTTGAATCGCCCCGTAAAAAAAATTTCAGTAGAAGTGATACATAATTTTTTTGCATGAAAACAAATTCACGTGTGAATATTACTATTTACAATCAAATATTGGGCTATGAATTTTGTTCCAAAGCTACTTAAGAATATTTTACGGATTGCAATACGATATTACCGAAAAAGTTGTAAAGGTTATAGAAGAATAAAAAAAAAAGTTGTATAAACTAGCCATATTCCAAACGTCAAATAATACTTGTTTATATTGTCATATGTGTTTTTCTGAGTGATTATTTTTTGTCTTTGTTTCCGTTCGTTCTCTTTTCAAATACGATTCCATTTCAAGTATTTTCATGTCCAACTTCTTCTTGTTTTCGTAATTTTTTAGCTGAGTTAGGTGATTATGACAAGCGTCGACATTCCCCTGGATATGTTTCAGAATTCCGCCTTGTTGCCAATCAATCGAAAGAACTGGAAATTCGAGTTACAGAGCTTCATCAGCAGCTACGAGGAATGTCACCGGCAGCCGCTGAACTAAATTATTTGGATAAAGTCAAATGGAATGATATGTATGGCGTCGACCTGCACCCAGTTTTGGTATGTACTGTCTCATTTAATCAAAATATTTCTACTCAATAGTGTGTAGACAGCATCAAATGTTTAAAGCCAAAACATTAAAATGTCATTATAACTAGTGCCTCCAAAAATTGTTAAGTGAAATCGCTGAAAATTGTTGTTAAATTGTTAAGAAAAAAACCTGAAAATTATTAAAGAAATTGTTAAAGAAAATCTGAAAAAATTGTTAAATTCAACTGATTAAAACGAAAAATTGTTAGATGTTCTGGCAAAATTTATTCAAGAATGCAAAAAAAAACTGAACATTAATTGTCATTTGAGTCATCAACGAAATGATTGAATTGAATTACATTCAATTTAGCGATATTCGATTCAGTTAAGGATTGACGTCTATCGGACAAAATATACTTGTATGTTGAAAATGACTGTTCAACGTAGATTGATACCATTGGCACATATCCACATTTTATCTTCTGGTCCGCCGGCATTTTCGTGAAAAAATCCATATCCGGATTTTTCTCCAAAACTCTCTCCAGCTTCTTCGAATACGCGCCGCTCAGTTTATTCTGGACCGATGTGAGAATTTCCATTTGCTCCGGTACTGTCAACCCATGTGTTTGCAAGTGAGTTATAGCTTCAGTCAAGAATTTGTATTTGTTCACTTCATACAGCGTTGTGTTGATATTTTTATTCGCTACTGCCTTCTTTAATTTCGTGACTGCTTTCGAATTTTTACTGCTCAAAGTGTAAGCAAATGATTTGATGGCAGAAAAATTTTCTCCATAATAGAATGCAGCGTTTAACCAGCTGTTCCAGCGTATTTCGATAACATCCGGAGGCAATGGCAAATTGCATGTTTTACGAAATATTTGACGATGATGATTTGATTTCACAAGTGTGGCTTTCATGCTGGCAATCAATTTGTTGACGTCGTCATTATTGTCCTTGATAAATTCACATACTCTGTTCAATTCATGTATCAAGCAAGTAACATGCTTCAAATTGGGAAACAATTGCTTCAATCCTTTGCCAGCTTTCAACATGTATGCTGCTTGGTCCGATATTAAAAACCAAAATTTTTGATAAGGTATACCACACCGTAAAGTGTCATACACGCTTGATTGACGGCTTGTTAAACTGTAGTATTGTTTTTTTGTTCCAAAAAAATCGTACTGAATAGCACTGGCTCTGAAAAAGTTTCGTCAATTTTCCCAACCAAAACATTCTATACAGAACGTTTACAAGCATCTGTAGTTTCATCGACAATAAAATAGATTGGGTGTTCATCGATGTACGCTTTGATCTTTTGCATGGTGCTTTGGTAAATTAAATCAACTTTGTTGTAGAGTGTGTTGACGCTCGGCAAAACTTCCTTGTATTCTTCCAAAAAGAATTTTCGCATGCTCGGGTGTCGCAATTTCCATATCGGGATTCCAGCCTCAAGAAATGTCTTCGTGAGTTTCACAGCTAAAGCGTCCATTTTTGCGTCGTTTGCACTTGCACCTGCAAACGCGCTTGCAATCGATGGTTGTAAAACATTTGAAACACTCGATTTTTTGTGTTTCTCGGTACGCAAATGTTACTGGAATTGCGTGTTCAAATGGACCGAATCGACTTTGAATTTAGTTTGGCACGATTTACAGGAAATGGTTACATCACTGTCTTTGGACTGAACTTCGAATATATTATTAGTGCCAATTAATTGCTTTGCGCGGGCTATCAATCGATCCGTGTACTCCCCATGATTCGAGAGTCATATTGCAACTGAAACTTAATTCAAATGATCAACTAAACGACAGCGCTGAAAACCAATTCGTTTTTAGCTCAGTTTTTGCTTAGTTTGCAGTCGTCAAACAATATGTGTCGAAAATGCACTCAAATTGCTTTCAATGCATATCGTCTTTGTAACTCGCCCATGCGATGAATAGCTGGCTGCCAATACAACAGTCGATGTTTCGTTTATGTACTACGAATGCGTCAGAACAATACAACGCATGAAAAATATCGGATAAATTTATTTGATATTTGAAATTTATATAAATAAATTTATCTGCAACCAACCTCTGATTTCGAAAATCCCGCTTCTGTACCCAGATTCAAGAAAAAACTGATAAATTACATTATATCCATTGGAAATGTTTTTGGGCACTTAGTTTACTCTATTTGGCACTAATTAGCACTAATCAGCACATTTATTCGATCGGAAATTTTGTCCATGACTGTTTGCGTTGGTTTACTTCCCTTTTCGTATTTTCGTCTCGATTGCTTTTTTTCCCATTCATTTGCAATGTTCGTTACAGGGAGAAGATAGTATTGAATATTTTCTTGGCTTGACACCTAGCGGAATTGTTGTGCTGCGCGATAAAACTACCGTCGCTTATTACTATTGGCCACGAATAACGAAGGTTTACTTCAAAGGACGCTACTTTATGTTGCGTGTCTGCGACAAAAACGTAAGTTTAAGAGCAAATAAATTCTAAATAATGAACTTTATTGTGTTTCACAAAGACTATAATGTGCTGAGGCGTGATTTAATGTGTGTGATTTCTCCGGAATTTTTTCTATTCGCAAAGCTTTTAGTTCATATCTCCATAATTAACTCGAATGTCCTTTTTACTCTTAAACTATTATCGTAACGTAGTGTTGGCTTCGAACGTTCGTTCGTTCGACATGATTTAAAACAAAAATTGCATGTTCGTTCGTTCGTTCGTTCGTTCGGAAATTATAGCTTGTTCAATCGTTTGGTTTTATTACATATATACATTCAAAATATATTTTGAATTCTTTGGGTAAGATTGAAGGAACAACATATTTTACTGACTTTGTCATGAAAGTGGAGACTTATTTTAACTTCGCAATCGTCACAATCATTTTTGGCGGTTTATCGCGATTTTTTGCTTTTTTCTCGAAACTGATAGGAGAAAATAATTTAATGTCTTCGGCAAAGTTGTAGGATCTTTCATGCCAAAGTCATTGAAACACACTCTACTTTCAGACTGAAAGTTTCAGTCTTGCCCAAAGGATTCAAAATATATTTTGCTTCCTATGTATTTTAAATGTAAAAAAAAACGGACGGTCAAACAAGCCATAACTTCCGAACGAACGAACAAAAAAATATCAAATTTTCGAAAGAACGAACAAAACAACTTCCCAACAGAAACCAATCAAATTACTCAACGCTAAAATGATGCCAAGTTCAAGTAGTTTAATTCATTCTACACGGTGTGGAATAAATTGAACAGCTTGAATTTGAAATATCAATAAGCAACGCCATCTATATATTAAGTTAAAGATATACTGGACAAAGGGTGTAGCTTCGGAGTAATTAAACTTAGGTTAAATACATATATTATTTGTATTACAAAATTTGTAATACAAATAGTATTAAACTTAATTTAATCTATGATGTTACGCCGAATCGTAAATTGATTAGTTTCTCTTGGAGTTTTCCATGTTTTCGAACGGTCGATCAAGCGTTCGAAAGTATTCGACGGTCAACACTATCGTAACGGCCTTGTCGTAACGAAAGATTAAGACGTTAGATTACGTCATCAGCATTGCCATCTTTGTCGCCTTGAGAATTATTTAAATGTTTTTTTTTAATTTTTTTTTCGTCATTTTCAACACGCTAACTATTTCATCGTTTGTACTCGATGTAATTATGGATCATCCTCTCCCAACACTCCTACTTACTAATGAACCAGAACGAAATAAGTACGTATGGCTTTGAAACCCCACGTAAATCAGCTTGTAGACATTTATGGCGTTGCTGTGTAGAGCATCACGCCTTTTTTCGACTAGTTCGTGTGTCACCAATCCAATCTCATGACAGCGAAATGTTTTCCCTTGGATCTCGTTTTCGATACAGGTATGTCAATCGTAATGAATTTGCGAAAACTTATTTGATAAAATTTTCCTATCCGACATTTCATCGAAAGCGAAGAATAAATAGAAAACAAGACGGTTAGGCTTGAGAGTTTAACCCTTATCCACACCCCTGGGTCTGGCCAGACATATTTCGTTTTCAAGCGTTAATTGAACATATTTCTAGTTAAGCTAGCGACTTGTGCTCTCGGGTAGCCTCCTAAAATTTTATTGGCTACCGATTTATGAAATAAAACATTATCCTTACAGAACAAAAAAAGGGCGAAAAAAGGATTTACAAAAACTACACCCTATTCCACACTCCTCGGGTCTGGCCAGACCCCTATATATTTTGTATGGAAACATATGGAATATACTGTGTTTTGATAATTCTATGTGGTTTTTTACCTCTCTAACATTACCTTGTTTATTTTCCTCAAGACAGTTATCATTTACCACTAATCAGTTCCGCGGAATACGCGAAAAACGCAAAAAATCGCGAAAATTCCCATTTTCATTATTCACGGAGCTGATAAGAGATAAGTGATATATGTCTGCAGCAAAGTTGTAGAACAGGTCAAGTCCCATACTTTTTGTGAAGATACTATCTCCTTATCTCTTATCAGTTTCGCGAAAAATGATGAATGATAAAAAAATGATAACTCGCGTTTTTCGCGATTTTACGCGTAACTGATAACAGATATTGAATTGTATCATGAATAAAATTATAGAACTCAACCTGCCTTACAAATTTGCTGAAAACACATATCCCTTATCTCTTATCAGTTACATGAAAAACGATAAGGAAAAACGCATTTATCTCGCGGCTTTTTTGAGGTTATCTGCATATTTTGCGTAACTGATAAGAGATAAGCGATATCTGCCCTGAGAAAATTTGTAAGGGACCTTGAATATTACAACTTGACCGAAGATACCAAGCCGTTATCTCTTATCAGTTTCGCGAAAAAACGCGATTTTTTCTTATCACTTTTCGCGGAACTGATAAGAGATAAGAAGATATTGTCTTTGGAAAAATTATAGTGCTTCACCTGTTCGACAACTTTGCTGAAGACATATATCACTTATCTCTTATCAGTTCCGTTAAAATTGAGCCGGCATGCATCACTTAATACCATACAAATGCATGTAAATGCATACGGGTCTGGCCAGATCCGAGGGGTGTGGAATGTGGTTTCAGAAAAGGAGTGTGGACTAGGGTTAAGTAATTGTCTTTAGTTTGTTATAACACGACAAACTTTTCTTCTCCTGATTGAAGTGAAAGTATATTACCTATTACTTTTTTCAACTAGGTCAATTTTTTAAAACGGGTAATCAGAAATGAAAACTGAAACTGCCACTCGATTCCTCGTCAAAAACTGAACAAAAATGAGTGTCACAGATTTTTGTAAAACTTATTCCTGTCGATATATTAGCTGAAATTTACAAACAAGTCCCAAAACTGATTCACTTCTATATGTCTCAATTGTACTGATTTGACATTTAGGGCATAAATTTATTCCGAGCGTCCAACAAGTTTTTTTGCATGTAGTAATAAAAAAAACTGGATTTTTGTCGTTTGTTCTAATGAATTAAACACACAGAGAACAGACTCTAGAAACACCATGTAAAAATGTGTTTCGATGTTTTGCAACACTTGTTGCGAAAAACCTATAAGATTTTTCAATCTATAGAATACAACTATAGTAGTAGTGCAACAACCGGCAAACGCACTCAAATTACATCTAAAACAACAAACATCAGTCGTGTTTTTTGCAACAAGCGTTGTAAGACACCAAAACACAATTTTTACATGGAGTTTCGAACGTCTGTTTTCTCTGTGCAATTTATTTCATTTCTGAAAAATAATGCACCTGTTTTGAATGAAAATATTAATTTCAATATAAAATAGAAAGAATTTTGCTTCATGCCAACGTGTTGCAACTTGCAACACTACAGTGGAATTTAATAAAACACATTGCTACTACAGTGAATAGTTATTGATGCGACTACTATTGGATTTTTTAATAGCAGATTGCGCTGTATTTCTCTGTGTGTAAAAATCCGATTTTAGGTCAAACAATGCAAAAATCATGGATGGCATCGGAACAATATTTCAGACATCGAGATGTTGCGTCAGCAGCAACGCGAAAGCAAGGCGAAAGAAGAACGTGCATCCACACAGCGGGGAGATACAGCGCGCATACACATCGTCGTGAAAACGGGAGCCGATGACTACTGTGATATTTTAACGACGATGTGTATGCGCGATGTATTTCCCCTTGTTCTTCTTTCGCCTTGCTTCGTCGGAACGAGTGCGGCTGCCGTTGCTGCTAACGCAAAGAGACATCTCTTCTGATAAAATAGAAACCTTCTGATAAAAATAAATTTTCAGCAAAAATGTAATGGGAATATGTTAGAAAATAAAACAATTTTAATTTAAAATGACATTTTCAGTGGTCGCACGGAAAAGCAGACAGTAAGAGAGGTACAAGGTAGACCACCACCGATATTCAAACGAACTCCGTCGCGTCGCCAGCCCCGACGCTGTTTTGATGATGCTTTGGATAACCGAAATAATACACAAAAACGAGCTGCCAACAAACAAGAAATAATGTCCATTTCGATTCCGCAACCAGCTCAAGCGTAAATTTTTTATTTAAATCATCCTGAGTATAATTAGCAGTTGTAGTAGTACTATATTTTATTCACACTTTTTTACGTTTAAAACAGTGTGAAAATAATACCATATTAGTCATCTACAACAAAGTTATAAGGGATTTTGGGTGTTACAACTATGCCGAAGACAAAAGGATGAAACTTAGCAATTATATGTCAGTCAATGCGACGGCAGCGCCGCTTTATTGAAACTAAGATTAAGGCACTGTCAAGTTACCAACCCTAACCAATACTCAGTGAGTATTACTCACCACTCACAAATGGTTTTAAAATTTGTACGAGAACTATTGGTAATTTGGCAGGTTACCACCATTATGACAGGCATAGTATGTGTTTGCATTGTATTTACTATGCTGAGCAATATTACTATGTCACAAAGTAGTATTGGTGGTAATTTAGCGCGGCAAAGTAAGTAGATTATAAATACATACTATGCCTGTCATAGTAATGGTGGTAAACTGTCAAATTACCAATAGATGTCACACAAATCGCAATATGACTTTTCAGTGAGCAACACCTATTACTATTGGGTCTGGGAATTAATCGTGTCGATTTTTCAAAAGATGGCGTAACTTTGCATGGTTGTATCGGGCAATACTTTTTTCTTTTTCACATGAGTGGTCTAGTGTCAAACTACAAAAATTATCATCTATCATTTCATCGAAGTTTGGATAAACATTTTTTTTTGCGCCTTAAATATGTCAAATTTTGTACCGAAAAAGCAACATTTCCCGCAAGCATTAATTTTTTGCTTTCATTTGAAGAAAACTGCGGCTGAAGCGCATCGAATGTTGGTGGAAGCCTATGGTGAGCATGCTCCATCGGAACGTACATGTGAACGGTGGTTTTCACGGTTCAAAAGTGGTGATTTTAGCACGGAAGACAAGGAACGTCCCGGCCAGCCAAAAAAGTTTGAAGATGCGGAATTGGAGGCATTGCTCGATGAAGATTCGAGTCAAACTCAAGATGAGCTTGCCAGAGCATTGAATGTTGACCGAAGCACTGTTGGATATCGTTTAAGGGCCCTTGGTTTCATTCGCAAGTTGTCAAATTGGGTACCACATGAATTGACGCCAGCGCAAGCTGAAAGGCGTTTAGTGACTTGCGAAATGCTGCTCGCAAGGCACAAAAAAGAGGTTTTCTGTATCGAATTGTCACTGGTGACGAAAAATGGATTCATTACGATAACCCCAAGCGCAAAGCATCGTATGTTAAGCCCGGCCAACCAGCAACATCACAGCCAAAACAAGAAATTCACGGCGACAAGGTAATGCTGTCTATTTGGTGGGATGAGGAGGGAGTGGTGTATTATGAGCTGCTGAGAAGTGGTCAAACCATCGATGGGCCTTTCTACCGACAACAATTGATACGTTTGAAACAAGCAATCAAAGAAAAACGCACGAAATGGGAGACCAGAAAAGAGACATTGATTTTCCTACATGACAATGCTCGGCCACACATTGAGAAATTGGTCAAAAACTACTTGGAAAATAGCGGATGGGAAGTTTTGGCTCACGCCCCGTATAGCCCAGACCTGGCTCCTTCCGACTACCATTTGTTTCGATCGATGCAAAACCATATGGACGGAGAGCGGTTCTCTTCAGTTGAAGAAATCCAAAATTGGCTCGATGCATTTATAGCCTCAAAAGATGAGGAATTTTTTAAGGCAGGCATCCGTCAATTGCCCACATTGTGGCAGAAGGTCATCGCTTCCGATGGACAATATTTTGATTGAAATGTAATTTCATTTTGGTATTCAAATAAATGTTTGAAAATTTAAAAAAATCGACAGAACTAATTCCCAGACCCAATATGAAATTAATTTATAACATTGTCATCTCTCAGCAACGCCGTAAATGTGAATTATGAGCGCTCTGTAACAGATCGAGAGTTTTAAAGTTCTGTATTTTCAGAGCAATGTCATCCAGAAAGTTACAGAACGAGTGAATAACAAATTTTGAAAAAAAAATTGAAACTCTTGATCGTTGACAGAGCGCTCCTAATATTCACATTTACGACGTCGCTGAGGGACAACAAAGTTATGATAGACCTCCCATAATGGGAGTCCCATTGGATTTTCACGAAATATCCGGAATTTTCGTACGGAGTTCGAAAAAATGTCCGGAGTTTGGGAGCAGAATATCCGGAAAAATCCGGATTTCTTTAAATATTGAAAAATAAGGATTGGAAAATATGATAAATGTGGTATTATACGAAATAGTTGGACAAAATTGAAGTGCCATAAAATAAATAAGAAAAACATGAAAGAAAATTAAGTTAACCCTCTACTGCACCATTTTTTTTTTACAGAGATGGGAATTTTATTCTAGGCTAATTTTGAGCCAAAAATGACAAAAAAAATAATGAAAAGCTCGATACAGTTTTTCTTTAGCTGGAAAACTCGGAAAATTACACCCCGCCAAAAGTCTTGCGTGTATTTACGCTTTCCTTCAGCTCGCCAAAAGGCGGTCTTGCGCGCTAACTACAGTTCTCACTAAAGGGGATATTTTTGTATTTTTCCTGTTTTCAATGTAATTTCAACTTCTAGACAACATAACAATAAAACTTCACGTTGAAATACAATAAAACTTTGCCAGATCATAACTCTGAGTATCCTATCTCCGCTGGTATATAACATATAGGCCAACATTTCTTTGAGGGGTACTTCTAGTGTATATATTTGAATTAAGAATGAAAAGGAATTGGAAGAATTCACAGTTCAGAACCTATTCTCTAGCAACCCTATGCTTAATTGTATTGAAAATCTCCCTGATTATAGTCCTAGTTATCCTTATTTCAGCGGCAATATAGCATGTGGGCCAATTTATCTTGTGAAAGGTACCTCTAGTGTACCTATTTGAAGTCAGAATGAGGAAAACTGAGAAAGACTCAATTTTCTAGACCTATTTCTGGGCAACCCTACACTGGAATTTAATGAAAATATCCCAGACGATAGTCTCGGATGTACCCTTTCCAACGGTATGTTAGAAGTGGTACTTTTGATCTACATATTTCAATTCGGAGTGAAGAAATATTATGAAAACCGCCAAAAGGCGGTCTTGCGAAGTGTGAATTTTTTCTTTCCTGTACTCGCAAGACCGCCTTTTGGCGGGCCCGTTATATTGAGGCCCCAAATTGTAACCAAATATAAAAATGATGCAATAATGATCAAAATCAAATGAATACCTCCTAATTTACCTGCAGAATATTGTTTTTAAAGTATTTAGAGCTTACCCGAAAGAAATGTGAATTCAGAAAATGATTTTTTCTCAAAATTGCACAAAATTTCACTTTTGAGGGCCCATAACTCGGCCCCGGCTTGACATATATTATAAAATTTATATATCAATTTGAATCTAAAGGCCTATCCAATGCAACGCTACCATATTTTCGACCATCCATAACATGGTACGCAAATTATGGGCCATTTTGTGCACCCCGTCTTTTGGTGGTCTTACGAACTAGAGGGTTAAATAACAACATTCAGTCTGTATTTCGTTCTCTGAATCAAGGTGTTGCCAGACATAACAGTTAGTATATATTTTGCATAGCAGCAAAGTGTAGTTGACATTGTTTATTTATAATAAAAGCAAAAAAACACATTGACACCATAATAAAAAAAAAGGAAATCGCCAAAAACGAGGCACTCTGTTGAATATGCCATAATATCGTGTTGTATGTGAACCACATCTAAATTTTGAACAAATGGAATAATAATAGAAAAAGATATCGACAACTTCTCATTTTCTAAATATCTTTGATAAAATTTTAAATGGAATTGTGTTGAAATGTAGAACAATTTAATACGTTTCGTCCGTATGCGAACGGTTCAGTGTGACTGCTTCTTCTTCTTAACTAACACATCTATACATGTAAGTCGCCATATTGGTTATAATGTTCACAAATGGCACTCAATACACTGTATACATTTTCAATATGGCCGCGCCCATTGTGTACGACAGTGTGAAGAAGAAGAAGCAGTATTATAAGAAACTGTGTATCGGTTTACATAGGGATGATACGTTTTCTCAAAATTTGAAAATATCCGGAAATCGCTAGAGAAAACCGGATCATGCCAAAATATCCAGAATTTCACGAAATTCCGGACGTTTCCGGACGCGATGGGAGGTCTAGCTTATGAATTATTAGCATAGTAATAGGTGTTGGTGAGTATTGGTGAGTGTCGGTATTTGTTGGAAACTGCTATGTTGACATCAACCTAATTTTAGTTGCAATAAAGCGGCGCTGCATCTCTCACTTATGAAAGAGAACTGTCAATTTACATAGAGTTTGGACGATACTTCATCTCTCTAGCCGAAGACATCAAGTCTTTTCTCTTATCAGTTTCGGAGAAAATTTTACCTTGTAAGGTGATCAAATCAGAGATGATTTTTTGATAATGTAATAATGCTCGTATCGGGGATGCTGTAGCTCAATGGATAGAGTATCTGACCGGCAATGAGAAGGTCCGTGGTTCGACTCCCGGCAGTGGAAAGATGCAAATTTTTCCTTTTCTTCTTCACTTCGAAATAGTTTGAAATGAGAGAAAAGGTTGGCATTTACTCGATACGATGTGTTTTGGATTTTTCAGTTGAGTACTTGCTCGTAGTATTCGGTTATCGAATTAAGCAAATTGAAGCAATTGAATCGTTGTCACTTCAAAAATTGTAGAGTTAAAAAGTAGCATTATCTAAAATAATTGAGTAATTTAGAATGACTTTACGGCACCAGTTCATGTGCTGAAAAGGAACAAAAATCATCTCTGATTATTTATTTCGCCAAACACTGGCTACATGCAATAATATTTCGTCATATTAAATTTCAATTTTGCTGTCAATACTTCAGTGATTAACTCAATTACTATAATTCGATCTAATATTTTATTTTCGTATTTGTGAAACTCAGTTTTGAAAGCCCATATCGAACGTGCAATATACCAAATAGCTTGTCAATTAGAAAGTACCCAATCTATGGTAATACAAGTGCGCCGGATTCGCCACGAAGCACGCGAAGTGCACCTTGGTCGCGATCTCAACAAAAAGGATTGTTTGGTGTGAATTCGAGTCCAAGATCAGTACGGTCAGCATCTTCTCGAAAGAGCTCCAATGTTCCAACACATCGTGTACGGTCTAGTTCAGTGGATAGTCACTCGTCAAATGATTCAAAAGCGTGTAAAAGGTTTGACATATGATCTCATTATATTTTTAACAACAATCACAATTTTGATGATTTAAAATTTAAAAAAAAAACGAATAAATTGGTAGGCAGCGTCACCGAAATCGTCGCACATCCGACAACGAAAGTGAATTATCCCGTAGTTCAGCACGTTCACATAACTCACATCGAAAGCGACGTCATCGTTCTCGTCATCGTCGTACTGAATCTGGCTCCGAAAATGAAGGTAGCCGACGTAGTTTTTCGGGACATCGAAAGTCAACCGGTTCAATAGAATTGCTGGACTCAAACCAACATCAATGGCGTGATGGGGAGCAGCATCGACGAACAGACGGTTCTGGGCTAAATTCTAGCATCAAAAGCGAAAACGATTATAATGGAAGTCACAAGGGTCGCCGACATAAAAAGAATAGGTATTTGCTATCTTGGTTTCAATCGTCATGATGAGCTACTATTTTTAATGCAAATTCCGCTTGATTTAGATCACGTTCACGGTCACCCGAAGGACGATCACGAATATGGTCAAGTGAACTAGCAAAACATCTGCAATTTGGTTTGGTGGAAACGGCTGGCATGACTGAGGATCAATTGCGTGAAATTCCTTACACTGTTGTGGAAACGCAATCAACAAAACCGAGAAACTCATGTGATAGTTCTATTAAAGTTCATGAAAACCATGCGAAAGATAGAGTAGATCGTATTCGAGGGTAAAATATTTGGGTTAATTCAATAAAAATATGATGAATATTTCTCCTTTTATAAATTCCATTCCACAGAATTTATTTACCAGAAAACCACAAAATGGACCAAATCCTCAATGGGTCGATAAGATCAGTAAGCACAGTCAGCTCAAGAGACTGTGAGAGGAACGCAAGCTTGGTTAGGTAGTTGACTTATACAAAGCCATCTATTTATATATGTATATAGAAATTTGTTTAAATGTAAAAATATGCACGTCAGGATGATGTCCAGTCTGAGTATGGGAGATTTTGTATCGCCGTCAGGATCTAGCCTAAGTCCTCTGGATGGGTCCGCACTGAGAGTTTCACATGATGTTCATGTGTCACATGAACACACTGATTCTGGACTGGGAGCCGATCAGGACTATGCTTATTCTTCCGAAAGGTATTTTTTTAAGAAAAACCATTATCATTTGTATGTTAAACCCATTTGCCGCGACGTTGTTTAAACGATAAAAATAGTTTTCCATGATTCACTTTAAAAAAAAGTTTGCATTGATGTTTCGTTTGGAAATATTTGGTTGATGGTGTTTCAGTTCTAGGAAAGTATGAGAATTTCAGCACATTAAATAGTGTATTAGGTGTAGGCGATAACTTTTGGTGAGTGATAGAGTTACCACAAGCATTTTTCAAAACGGATTATCAGAAATTAAAACTGAAACTACCACTTGATTCAAAAACTAAAGAAAATTGGAGTTTGATGTTTGAGGAATTGAATTCGATTGGTAAGTTGGCTGAAACGAAAAAAAAAACCCAAAAACGATCACGACATACATATTATTTGAAGTGAATCGTGGGAAAGAAATTTTATTGAAATTCTACGCGGTGTTTCACTTCGAAAAAATTCTCTATCGATGATGTTACACTTTCAGAAAATCTTTCGTTTTTGTTTTGTTCATACATATCACTTTTGCCCTCATCGTATTCATATGTTAATTAATATTATTTTGATACATTTTCTTCAACACTCCCATTCGCTTTGAATTTGACAACTGATATTGAGTGCAAACTCCACCTGGATAATCTAAGGCAAATGACAATACAATCAAATAAACTCTCCGTTCTGTCAAACGTCATACTAAAGTGTAGCATACAGACATAGCGAATTCCGTCACTCGATTCCCAAACAAATACAAAGAGTAGTATAGATCGCAATCCAGACTTGTTTTTCTTTCAAAAATGAGCGTTTTGAAAAAAAATTCTCCAAATAAAAAAGTCGGACTTATACTTACGAGCTCATGTCAATTTCCAAATTTTTAACGGAAAATTCGGAAAAAAAAATCGCCGCGGAAATGGGTTGAGAAAGAGAATTTAGGTATCACCGTCATGTCATGTATATGTGTTCTTTCAGGTCAAGTGACAGTACGAAGTATGGTACGAACAAATCATCAGGCGCCTCAGTGACGTCAGGCAAACATCTGAAGAATCAAAGCACGCAGGGCGCTCATGATTCAGTGAGTAATGGAAAACCGCCATTGCATCCCAATCATCATCAAAACATTCACAATCACAGAACTACTACATCCAATCCTGTACATAATTCTAACAATCACCTAAGCAATAACACCGTATTTCACAAAAATCAGTATACATTTAGTCTTAATTGCTACGATGACAGTGGCTATTTGGAATCTACTGGTCCCCTGTCATCCGCTTCGCTTTATGGTGATGGTCCAAGAATATCACGTGGCACAAAATCTGATATAGGAGTACCAATCCGTCATTCATCTGCTTCGAAATTGCAATTGAAGAGCAGCTCAAGTATACACCATAACCGTAACAAAGACAAACTTACGTCCGTCAAATCTGATTTTCTACTTTCTTACTTGAATAATAACCATAATGATTATAATAGCATTATGAGTGCGCCAAGAAGTTTGGCACATAATCCAAGTGATCGTTACGGTCTGAATAACAATAGTGAATCAACTAATTCTACAAATTCGTCTGCCTATCACATAGCTGGTGTATCTTCATCAGATATATCCGAAACACATAAGACTGCCATCAAAAATTTTAATATAAACTTAAAGTCTACCGCGAATACGAATTCAAAATCAGATCAAAATGTTAGCAAATTACAATTTAATGATGGTTCTGATCAATCCACAAACCAATCAACCCATACCATAAACGAACAGCAACGCACTCGCATTATCAACTTTCTAAGTCGTTCGCATGGATCGTCGAATACGGATGCCAAACATAGTACGTCGTCTGCATCCAGCTCATACGAAAATTGTCAAGCATCTAATGTAGTTGGTCCCTTGCTTTACATTGATTCTACATCCGAATCGCACGGCAACAGTCACAATAAAATCAAGAACGAAATTCAAAATTACTCACTCAAAAGTGTAAGTAAATAAATAAAAAACAATCCTCACACATTGTGTAATTCTAACGTACAATGCATGCTATATATACTCATCAATATTTGTTGAACTTTTTGTATCATACTCTCTTACCCGAGGGGCGAATCACTCTAAAGTAATTTGTAATAGAGAAAGTAATTTACGTGTGAAAATCCCGATTACTTTTGAAAAGTAATCGAGATTTTTACACGTAAATTACGTTCTCGATTACTTTCTCTATTACAAATTACTTTAGAGTGATTTGCCCCTCGCTCTTACCACACCAATTATCATACCAACAAAATGAAATGAAAGGAAAAGCATAAGTTTATTTGAAGCGAGTAGAACGAGGGCCTTCTATGGGTTTTGAGGAAACCGAATAGCATTCAAACTATTGGTATCAAAAGGTCCAATAGACCTGTGCACTTATTTTTGTCTATTTTATGTGAATATTTCATGATGTGTACAAGATAATCCACTCTACTCGGCATGTTTATTCTTGCATTCGCACACAGAAAGAAAATTGTGTAAGTTCACTATATACTTCGGTAAGTGATAGAGTTACCACAGTTTGTGTCAAAGTTACCCGGATACAAAATGTAAAAATACTCGCTCATAAAGCGAGACATGTACATGCGTGTTTGTGTGTAATGTTTAATACACGTTAATTTTCAAGAGAGATGAAGCAAGCGACTCTGCTGTTCGTAACACAACAGCTTTTAATATACGTAAAGACATTGCTTGCACATTGCTCGTAAGTGTGAACGAGATAGCATCATATATAAAACTTCTTTTTAGGCCCTAATACGTTCCATTCGATTGGAATCCAAAAAAATGTGGAGAAAAGTAAAAAAAAAAAAAATTCGGAGAGAAAATCTCGAAAAAATACAAAAAAATCCATATCGGTAGAATTACTGCAGTTTTTGATGCACATCGTCATTATTCATCCTAATTTATTCAATTCCATCGATATTTCGACCCGAAAATGTGAAAAAACGAAACAAATTATAGTGCACCCTATAAATTTTATAGTCTACTTCAAAATTGAAACTGCTATCAAATTGATGAAATGAAGAAACCATGCGTGTATATTATTTTATTTGGATCAATTTTACGTAAATTTAAGGAATATGACCAAACACCGCAGCCAACGCAAAATAGAAACGTTTCAAAAATTTATTGACCATATATAATTATACATGTATAGAAAATGAAACGGACTTTTAAATGAACCACAAATCTTTCAGACAATTTCTCTGACAATCAGACATATTTGCATCTAGGGGCTAACCACGGTTTTGAAAATAACCAATAATGACCAACTTTAACATTTTTTATCATTTAAACAAATAAATTCCGATATGATCACATTTTGGTCGATTTTGCCCGATTTTTACAGTAATTGTTTCGCTTTAACGAATGCATACTGTTCTAGAAGCAGGTTTTGGTGCATCCACAGGATCGTTCAGAACTGCTCCCGATTCTGGAAGTGGGTTTTGGTGGATCTTCAGGATGGACCAGACTGGGTTTGACAATGCCCTGTCCCATCCTGAGGATCCACTTCCAGAACCGGGAGCAGTACTAAACGATCCTGAGGATCCACCAAAACCCACTTCCAGCATTTTTGAATCGGTAATGACGTCAGCACATTAAACGTTCATAGTCGATATTAAACGATAAAATTCAATATATACAGATTTTTTCAATTTTTTACGGATGTCATTAAAATTGGGCGATAAAAACAGATTTTCTCAATAAAAAATCCGTGGCTAGCCCCTAGATTTGCATACATTCAGGCGGCACGAATGATTTTTCATATACGGAAGAAATACATTGTCAACATAGCCCATGAGCTTCCATTGACCGGAGCTGGGATTCTGAGACATTCCACAAAAATAATAGGGTGAACATAATGACAACCGGACAACGCAGCCATTTTCACGTTGTTTACCACTGAAACACATTGACGTATGCTTGTGATTGAAGAATAAACAAAAAAGTTAACTAAAACCAAATGCAAAATAGTTTTAAAAAAATTGAAAAAAAAATATTTCCTACAACAGTATTTTAAAATGGATTCTTTTCAATAACTTCATACTTTCATTCTGTTAATGAACAACAAATTTTTTTCGCGAAACAAATCCTACAATTTTTTTCAAAATTTGACCAAAAGGTAAGTAAACCTAAAAGTAAAAAAGGTACTCTTTCAAGAAATATTAAAAAAAAATTCAAACTATTTTGCATTTTATTTTAGTTAACTTTTTTGTTTATTTTTCAATCACAAGTATACGTCAATAACGCAAAGTGGTACATACTTGTACCATTTTTTACATACACACGCGTATGAACGCGACGATTGGATGCAGAAAATGGGACATGCTTGTGCCACTTTGCATTACGACTGACCATGCATTATTTTTTAGAAATTTTTAGAGCTGCCCATTTTCAAGAAAATTTAAGTAAAACACTGCCCATTTTTGAGTTTTGAGCTGCCCATTTGGGATTTAGAACTGCCCAAATGGGCAAGAGCTGCCCATTAAAATAATGCATGCGACTGACTGTAGTTTAGCGGGCAACCGCTTTGACGTGGCGCTGTCAACAATATTGCCCCATTTATTTATAATTAACCATTTTTAATATTCGAAAGAAACTTACTCTCCTTTTTCAAAACAATCTCACCCATAATTACTCATGCTTCACCAATAACTTCACGTGATTTTTCCTTTTGAAAGCAACATCGACTTATCTTTGTAAACAAAAGTGTTCGAAAAATGAGATTTACTTACACACTGTTGAGATAAACTCAATTTTATTTTGTCATTATGTAACATACCGTAAATCTAATTTTTTGAACAAACTGCCCAATATTATCGGCAGATTTTTTGTTTTCTGAACTAAACTTTAGTTGGATCAGAATGAAGACCTTAACACAAATTTGCCGTATCGGTGCGAAAAAAGTATACTTTTTCGCGAAAAAATTTCAATGAAAATAGTGGTACATTTCGGATAGAATTTAGTGTGTGAAGATGTTAATTTTATGGAAATCTGCCATGCACAAAAAAATAAGTAAAAAACTATACACTGAGAAAAGGCTGGAATAAAATTTGACAAGTGCGGGAATGCTGTCAATATTCTAACCATGGTTGGACAATTCACAAAATCGTCTGCAATGACAACATTTACAACGCAGGGTTGGAATATTTCCTTGCAGCATTTTCTCAGTGTAGAAAATGAATTATACAAATTAAAACAAACTGCTTTTAAAAACATTTTCGAGGTCGTGAAAAATCAAACGGCCACGAATTGAAAAAGTGGTCGAACACTCGCGACAGACAAAGGCACAGACAGACGAACATTGAGTTTTATGTAGATAGATAGATAGATGAAGTGGATCTATAAAGGCAAGAAAATGGGGAGAACAAAATGAAATCATACGATATTAGGGGACAATCAGATTGATAAAGATCATTGTGCGAATTTATAACGTTTCATATTATTCGTCTAGCACAAAATCAACAAAATCATCACAAACAAAAGAGATTCGAGCGTGCTCGAATAAAGACGATAGAACAGTAGAAAAAAATTAACGAACGACCAAAGAACCAGAGAAGATATGCCATATAGAAATGACAAACCATTAGATAAATATATCTTTTATGATATAGAGTATAGCTTTTTGCTTATTTCAACAAAAACTACAAAACTAAGCGAATAGATAGATGAGATGGAAGAAAAAGTTTTGTGTATGTATGGCTCGTGTCTTTTTGTCTTTAGTTTGGACATTTCTGCGGAAAAGTGCTTTTTCACATCTAAAATCTTTTATTCTTCGTTTGTATGTATTACTCGTTGAAAATTTCTTTTATTTGACTTCGTCCCAGAAATGTATCCATTATATTAGAATGTTCTGAAAGTGTACATTTAAATGGGATCAGAAAAGTTTAATACTCCATTTATTTAATGTATTAAAATATGAAGTCAATCTTGTTTTGCATTAGACTTGACTTTTGTTATTCTTTTTTCAGTCTATGGTTAATTCGATTTATTTTTCTGTGGATTTTTTTCATAATTTCGATACATTCTCTTATGAACTCCTTGAAACGCTCATTTGTTCCACCACGCCGAGATCAGTTCGAGTATTGGGTGTACAAAGTGTTGTATATATATTATTATGCGTTTATTCTATAACCTTAGGAAAACAAAAACTACTGCGTAAGAATCACTGTTTGTATCGCTTTCGGATCTACCAAACTTTCTATCTTTATTGCTAAATTAGTTTTCGCAACACCATCAAAACTTATTTCAACTGCGTAAAATGAACAGAGGCAAGGGTCTTTTATAGAGTCGACTAATCGCAAATGGAAATCTAACGAGCTGTATCAATAGTCACTGTATATGTGAAATTATGGGCTTCTCTATGTTTTTGTCGCTTCTGCTATTGCTATTGCTGCAGCTGCTCCTTATTGTTGTTATTAAAATTTTCTTACTGTAGTTAAATTACATCACAATCAAATGAAATGGAGTTGTTTAATTATTTATGCGGTAGTTATTGTGTAAGAGAGTTAGCAAGTGTACGATATCACTTTGCCAACTCAGGAATTTTGCTACATCAATGCTCAAATTATTTTGTGATAGAACGATAGAGCAAAAGGGGAGCATTTGTTTCAGTCATTTATTTCTGTTGGAAAATGCACCGTTAGACCAAATCAACTTTTCCGCCATCTCTCCACCTTCTCCTTCTTTTTCGGTACTACATGGAATATAGGCTACTGATCTGTTTATTTTTCTGAGACATTTTTAAGTCTCTTAAGGTCACTTTTTGGACTGAAGATTCATTTTGATTTCCATATAATTTATTCTAAATGAAGCAATCAAGAATGATGTTGTAATTCATTTTTAAGATAACTGAGAAAACAATTTGTTTCTGTTTTTTTTTTGTTACTACTTGCAAATACATGTTTTTATTATTACTGTGGTTTTAATCTGCAGTGTTATTAAAAGGGACGCATTTTAATGATACATCACTGCGAACTTGTTTCGATAGACACATTCCATGTAGTGCGCGAAAAAATAATTATACAAAAACGCAGAGCGGAACGAAGCAACGCTCTGTGGTCTTGTTCTTCCACTGAAGGGTTGCAAACATAGCGACGTGTTTTTGATGCGACGAAATGTGGGAATCACATAAAAAATTAGGGATCATAATATTTCGATTTGAGTCATTCTTTTCTCACTTTCTTTTTATTTATTTTTTTGCAAGTTCGATCTATTTATCACCTCTGTTATATAATATTTGACGTGTTCACACTTAAAACCCAAACTATAACATGCAACTGAACAACAACAAGAAGAACTATTCTATCCTAAACAGAAACCTCTGTACTACATCACTATGTTACCTATCATTCAGCCAGTATTTGGCGGTGTCAATAAATAATAATGAAAATAATACTTAATAAGAAAAGAACGCTTTAAACATGCTGCGTATATTCCATACGCACGCTTATTTTATGCCATTTTCACGCTTACGCCAATTTTATATATAGTTGAATACAGAGTAAATGGTATATTCAATGTATATTTTTGACGTGGAACCGCACTCAAAACGTACGCCTTGCGCTTCTTTGCCATACACAGTTAAGGAAAGATAAATAGCGTGCGGCGTACGCTTTGCGTGCGGTTCCACGTCAAAAATATACCTTAAATATACCATTTACTTTTTATAATATATTCAAATTAGCGTGCGCCAAATGAAATATACGCGATTGAGTAATAGGCAATTCGCTTTCGAACGATATAAATCCTTCCGAAATGTTCTAAGGGTCATTCTTTCTGCATTCATTACAAAATACGAGACTTTATCATGCTAATTAAAATTCGTTTCACCATTTGAAAATGAATTTTCATCGAACGTGTTCTTCATCGTGTCGCTTCAAAAATGTATGTATGAAGCAGAAGCAGCAAATTTTGGCACCAAAAGTAGAATGCTTGTGTTACAATGTATTTTTCAATTCATTACAATCGGTGCCACAAGGATCGCCTGTGGTATATTGCTCTTGCAGCATCCTTGTGGTATGAAGTCATTGGTCTCAATTCTTATTCCACTCTTCTGTTATTCTGAAGTTTTCACATTTCCCACTTCTGGATCATAAATATTCAATTAAGGCATATTTTATTGAAGCATTTTACTCGACATTTACCAGAAGCTGTACAAAAGAAGATTACTTCTTCCCTTGCCTTGTTCCATCCAAACCAGCGCAGCAACAGATTCGCTACACGCCATCTAGATTTGACATACATTTCCGTTCTACAATGTACCGAACTAAAACGAAACGTGTGTATTTTGTTGTTGTAATCAGTCACAGAGAGTACCTGCTGCACTGGTTTGGTCCCATCGTTGTAGTCTCATGAGTCTTGAGTATCTGTGCGATGCAATTTACATTTGAAACTTTTTCTGTAAAAATTAACAATCAATTGACACCCATAGAATGAAAGAACAACTTATGAGCTCTTTATCTATAACTGAGACGGAAAAAAAACTTAAAGCAAAAAAGAGGCAAAGTTGCGGAAAAGACTTCTTTTGCATTTTTTCTTGCTACCGGAAAGAGATAACGATTAGGTTCGGCATTATTGTAGAAAATAAAAAGAACTACAAATAAACACCTAGTCGCTATCTATTTCCAGTAGCGAGAAAATTGCAAAAAAAAACTTCTTTTCTGATCAATCTCGCTCACAACTTTATTTGTCTCTTTTTTGCTCAAAGTTTTTTTCGGTCTCAGTTATAGATAATTATTGCTGCGCCCTATCCATCGGTACCGGTTCCATTACTGGACGCTATATGGCCAACTCCCATACAAATTAGGACACGGTTCTGTCTGTGTTTACTCTGTTTTTTTTTCTTCTCATTTTTCACTATACATTCATTCGTATCAGTTCGTATTTTCAATACATCGTGTTTAATGTTTCCTGTCAATCAGAGCGTGTTATGAGCTGATGTTAGCAGCACTAACTGACGTCAGTTGCTGAGCTCAGCTGTTGATGAGTATGCGTTGTGTTGTTTTAACGCATTTGCAGTATAAAAATGTGTAATCCAACAAGGTGTCATCTTATCAAGCCATTGGCTTCCACATTTTTAAACTGCAAATGCATTAAAACAACGCAACACATACTCGCCAGTAGCTGAGCTCAGCAACTGACGTCGGTTAGTGCTGCTGATATCAGCATGTTATGCTCTGCTGTCAATGCAATTATATTTACAACCATTTAGATTCTGGTTCTCAACAAAATCTAACGCATTTGTGCAACCGTGATGTTTGCACTTCGGAGTTGTTCGCGTATGCATCGTCCGTTCATCGTGTTTCATACGAACGAAATCAGTACACAAACACGTGTGTGTGTATTAGGGCGGGTCGATTTGTAGGGAGTGAAAAAAATCGACCAAATACCTATGATTTCCGTGTTCTATGGGTCATTCCAAGAAAATTTGCCCAAGGAACCATATCTCTATCGTTAAAATCGAGTCTGCAAGTTTTTTCCTGTAAGTATTTTGCGCACCTATGAAGTGTCAATTTCATTTTCACATCCATAATTCAAAAACTATTGATCGGATCAAGTTGATTTGACAACCGTTGGAAAGCTGAGCTCATTCTGATCAATTTACATATAAAAATCATCGATATTTGTCATACGGTTCAAAAGTTATCAGCATTTTTCTAGATTTTTGGACGTTTTTTTTGACTTTTTTACTGATTTCGTCCAAAAACATTACGTTATCGGCCATTTTTGGGCTGAATCTAAATTTTAATTCAAAGTACAATTAAAAACGAAGATTAGCCCTAGGCTATGAACATTTTTTTCCCGAAAAACCCTCTCTTCTGCCCTGAATTCGCCTTTGAAAGTTAAAAAATCTCACCCCCAACATTTTCGACGCATTTTTCACCCCTTAAAACTCAAATGGACAAATAGGTTATATCCCACGGAAGTTGCGCCTGATCCTATAGATTCCATTGGCACATAGTGTTGGCCCCCCATGTTGCCCCAGTTCGAAGGGCAGGGGTCAAAATGTGAAAAAAGTAGAAAACTACCCCAAAGTGGGTAAACCTCACCCCTCATCCCCAAAATAATTGCATTTTTTGGATTCTTCGTCGAAAATTAGCTATACCTCCCAAACATTAGTTTTTGATAAAACCCCTCACTTTGGCCCAAATACATCTCTGAATGAACATTGGGAAAATTGATATTTTTCCATACATTTATATGGATTTTTTGCGTTTTGTAGGTTTTTCTCCCATAACTCGTACCCCATATGCGATGGAGCAGAACTTTATTCGGCAAAGTTTTAGATCTCGTTGGAACCTACAATTTTGCTGCAGACAGTTATCACTTATCTTTTATCAGTAAGGAGATAAGGGCCATGATAGCTCTTATCAATTATCACTGTATGGAAAAATATCAATTTTCCCAATGTTCATTCAGAGATGTATTTGGGCCAAAGTGAGGGGTTTTATCAAAAACTAATGTTTGGGAGGTATAGCTAATTTTCGACGAAGAATCCAAAAATGCAATTATTTTGGGGATGAGGGGTGAGGTTTACCCACTTTGGGGTAGTTTTCTACTTTTTTCACATTTTGACCCCTGCCCTTCGAACTGGGGCAACATGGGGGGCCAACACTATGTGCCAATGGAATCTATAGGATCAGGCGCAACTTCCGTGGGATATAACCTATTTGTCCATTTGAGTTTTAAGGGGTGAAAAATGCGTCGAAAATGTTGGGGGTGAGATTTTTTAACTTTCAAAGGCGAATTCAGGGCAGAAGAGAGGGTTTTTCGGGAAAAAAATGTTCATAGCCTAGGGCTAATCTTCGTTTTTAATTGTACTTTGAATTAAAATTTAGATTCAGCCCAAAAATGGCCGATAACGTAATGTTTTTGGACGAAATCAGTAAAAAAGTAAAAAAAAAAACGTCCAAAAATCTAGAAAAATGCTGATAACTTTTGAACCGTATGACAAATATCGATGATTTTTATATGTAAATTGATCAGAATGAGCTCAGCTTTCCAACGGTTGTCAAATCAACTTGATCTGATCAATAGTTTTTGAATTATGGATGTGAAAATGAAATTGACACTTCATAGGTGCGCAAAATACTTACAGGAAAAAACTTGCAGACTCGATTTTAACGATAGAGATATGGTTCCTTGGGCAAATTTTCTTGGAATGACCCATAGAACACGGAAATCATAGGTATTTGGTCGAAAAAAAAATCGACCCGCCCTAGTGTGTATGTATGCGCCGAACGCTCAATGCCGAATTCTATACGAGGCAAAGAAGACACAGAGAATGAAAATATAGACAAAAATGAGCATGGCTACAGTGATGAAATGAGTTGCTACGAAGCGTTCGGCGCATAAGAAACACGATGAACGTGTGGTGTTTTAGCGAACAGCTCCGAAGTGCAAAGAGCACGGATGCACTACTGCTTCATGTGCGCCGGATTTTGTTGAGCTGTTTTAACTTATCATGTATATGTGTATATGTGTATATTCCACATAAAATGTATCATTTTGAATTGTCATCATCTGTATTTCTTTCTTTAGCTTCCTTTCGATTTAAACATACACATACTCGAACAAATCGAAGAATGAATTTTTATTGAGTTTTGAACAAAATGCATTGTATTTATTAGAACCCCAGTAACATTGCGGATATGCGAGATGTATCAGTAGCAGAGAAGTTCCATCCAAAAATTAGGTCCTCACAAAGATCAAACAGTCTAGAGTTAATACTAACACCAATAATTCAAAGTATCAGACGGTAAGTTGTATATAACATCATAAATAAACATCATTCAGATCAAAACTTCCAATCAACACCTCTCATCAAACATAAACTATTCGCATTTTTGGAAAGAATTTCCGATACTGAAGACACTTGTTATTACTAGTCTTCGCTTTGTTATATATGAACCGTTGCGACAAAAAAAATTCCCTCAGAATACTCGAGAATTGAATCGAAGCATGGCATTAATCTATAAACAAATCAACAACGCAAGTTTGTGAAACAAAGCGACACAAAGCAAATATGGGAAAAGTGCGACAAAACGAATCATGTTGCAGTTTAAAGTCAAAACTTACTTTGTGGCACTTTGTTTCTCAAGTTAGCGTTATTTCTCTCCATAGAAATTTTGCCATTTGCATGGCTACAGTGTTGGAATGAGTTGCTACAGAGCGTCCGGCGCATAAGAAGCACGATGAACAGGCGATGTATACGCGAACATCTTCGAAGTGCAAAGAGTACGACTGCACTACTGTTTTATGTGCGGTGGGTTTTGTTGAGTATCGCTTGAGCATCGCGCGCATGTAGTAGTGTCGTTCTGCCTTACACTGTACATACCATACCGCGCGTCAAACCAACCGTTCTTTGTGTCGATGCCAATATGCTCGAGCGTATATTTTCTATGGATTCTCTTTAAAACTAATTTCGAGCATGATGCAGTCTATTTCAAAATTATAATAAGTTGATAATAATACTGTATTGCGGCCGTCTACGTGGGAAGTTTTGAATGAAAACCTCGCAGCGCCGGTGAAATTAAATTGGTTTATATGGTTAAATTTAAATATGGCCAGAACTTGAATTTCCGAGCGGAATTCGTCAAAAATAATGTGTCCATGGCTCCCAAATCCCGATGTATAAAAATTGATGGCTCCCACATTTGCTTTGTGTCTCTTTAGTTCAGAAACTTGCCTTGTTGCTCTTTGTTCGTAGACGAATTGGCTTCGATTCAATTCTCAAGCTTTCTGAGATTTTTTGTCGCAACGGTTCATATATGTTAACTGTAAAGCGCAACGGCTATTCAGTATCGGATGATGCGGCAAAGCAAGTAGAAAAATATCATAATAAAAATATGCGATATTGAAAATATTTGTCATGTGTTAATCACTTGTATTCAACAAAAAAGGCCATAGTTTCGATTTTCAAATATTCAGAGCTTTTTTTTACCATTTTTGCCATAGAGGTAGACAAATAGTTCCATAAATTGACTTCAATTTTCTGTAGATTGGTTTTACTTCCAGTCAGTATGAGCCTGCGCAGGATAAATTGTGAAACACTGCATTTGAAATGAAGTTTTCTAACAAAAATCCGGAAAAACGTCAATTTTGACCATTTTTCACTAGGGAAAAAGTAATATTCCTTGTAGATTCCTAGACTGTATTTTCTATGATACAAAAAATGTTCATCCAGAAGTACAACTACTTGATTATCATTTTTTTGGAGGGTTTTTTTTCTATTCATAAAAAACCGCAAAAATAAAATTGTGGCAATCTTTTTTTCATAACGAAAAATCAAGAAAATCTCTTGATTTGAATCGGCACCCGCGAACTTTCGCTCAACACTTACAAAGGAATATTTATCACCAGAAAATGCCTATTGGCAAGTGGTAGTTTGGAAAAGATTTATACTGTTATTGTGATTTTGATTGTATTTCTGTTTTTTCAAAACATTTCCAACATCTCGTCTTTTCATCCTCACTTTATCTACACTGCCGCATTATGTTATACTGAATTAACGTTCTTTTGCGATATTGAAGATATAGTTATGCGTTTTTTTTTAGTTTGCAAATAGAATTATTGACAATAATGGTTTGATATCCAAATTAATAAAAAAAAAAACAATATTATTCGACATCTATCGGTTAGAATATATTATGCTTGGATGTATAATATTCCATATTATGCTTGCTATTCCATTTGATCCAAGACTAAGTGTGTACAAAAAATAAAGAAGCCTTTCAACATAACCAAATTATGCGTTAATAACATTAGTCTATGAATGGACCAATGCACACATATAGAAGCATGCATATATTTTCAACGACGATAAACGGTTCAAAAGAGTTGGTTTATGGCCGCTTTCTATGTGGAATTTCACTATGATCTTCAACACAACCATTTAAACACCAATTTTATTGTAACAAAACCACAACAAACTACTCGACTTCATCGCTAACTTATTAATTTATCGCATTTTTGGGTGAGACATGAATGTTCTCCTATTTTTCAACGATGATCAAATATTCCATACATTTGCCGTTGATATACGATATATACAGAGCATATTCCCTAGAGATTTATAACATGGAAACCCAATATCAGTTATTATCATAAAAAAATTTAAATGTGTGAGAACCCCTAACGTTTTAGGTCTATCCAAAATATATGACTACACACATGTATACACAAAGCTGTATGTCAATATATGATTCGACTTGAAAGCTTAGCTTGCAAGCCAAGAAGGAGATAAAGTAAATATAATCGGCAGCAATTTTTACATCATAAATCATTTTACGCTCCAATATCGTATGTTAGTAAACCGTTAAAATAATACAAATTTATATAGTTATTATATATAACAAACAATAGTTTGTTAGTAGAGAATGAATTAAAGTATGAAAAATCGGTGCTGCGTGGAATACACTGCGGAAGTGGATGATAATGTGATTTGTACATACACCTCTATTATAATACACTTGTAATATGTAATATACAAGGAATGTTTTTCAGTCAAAGCCAAGTGATTCAATTGAAATTTAGTTCGATATAAAGCTGCATATATATTCTTTATATTGTACACCTGGTCCACTCAAAAATCATTTCTTCTGCTTACTAGTTTTTTTTTTAATTGATAGAATTTAAAAACACCATATCTTTTTAAGTTAAAACTTTCAACGCAAATACTGATAAGTTTAAATAACACCAATCTTTTTTCGCACATATTCATTTCAAATTTCATTCAATTCGTTCAAAATTTAATAAAAATATCTAATTAGTTTTTTCTTTTTAATTTTTCCTTGCAGCGTACAGTAGTCGGTGGAGAAATGAGTACTGAGCTGTAGTTCATTATGTACGAATTGATTTCATTCTTAAATATAGATGAAAGAACTCAATTAGAAACGCAACAAATCAACGAAATAAAATGATCATCATATTAGTGATAAAAAAAAAGTGTTAATTCAGTTGAAACATATTGGCAATGTTGGCAAATGTATTTCTTGCGTTTATGAAAAACTCAGATTTGTAGAAGAAGAGTATGAAGAAAGTATGCAATATTTGCGGTTTAGTTGAAAATCATTAATTTGTTTATTACAACAACAAAGTAAACACGTTTCATGCAGTTCGTACACTGTATAAAGGGAATCCAGATGGCACCATCATTGGTCAAGTTCTGTGTAGCTCTCAATTTTTCCGTTATGTGATCACAGATTTTTGTTTGGAATATCAAAACTATAACAATCACTTTTATGGTTCCCATAAAAAATGTGAGTTGAAGTTGTGAGATTGATTTATAGAAAGTAGAAACTTATTTGGGAATAGTTGTGATTCATATTTCATTCATTGTCCAGAATGTTCTGTTCACGCCAAATGAAATCAACTTATTCAATACAATTCTGAACAGTCGTTAACTTTGGTTTTGATAGCTATTTGTTGTGTCAGTGTTGGTTTGCAGTCATAAGCAAAGTGCACGAAAATGAATTATTCCAGGTGAAAATTTAGTTCAAAGACATTATCACTCCATCTGAAAATGCGACAAGCAGCAGTCAATGACAAGTAGCTGAGCATATAAACTCATTAAGCTTATAAGCTTGATAATCCTCACAAATCTACACTGCATCTACACAGTTATTTGAAATTAAAAATGATGTCAAATGACTCCACACTCTACTATACTATAGCCACATGGTTCTACGTTCAAAACTGTGTGAGAACAGTGTCAGATATGCGTTAACGTAACGTGGATTCAGTGTGGATTTTTGCTTGGGAAAGTTCATATGCTGACATCAATTTATTTACATTCGAAATTTTAATGAATTTTATTGGTAAAATACGAATCAAACGAACATGCTCAGTGCTTGTAAAACGACCGAACGAGTAGTGGTTTACAAGAGTGCGCTAGAGCGCACTAGAGCACTTGTTTTGTTTTTTGCTTTTTTCGTCGTTCTTCTTCAGATTTTTGGCCAAATTCAAACTTTTTTACGCACATATACGGTATTTGGGACTTCGATATGTCTGTTGAGAAACTCTCTTTGTGATATCGAAAGAAAATAAATTGTGAGAGCTACACAGGATTCAACCATAGTGTTCGCGAATCTACCTGTTTGGTGGTACGACTATTATCACCCATAGAAATTAACTTTAACAGGTCTACGATATCTGTACAAAAAATGGATTTATAACTTTTCTGCATAATATATATATATACATCACAGGCCATAAGTTTGGATACCCCTATGAATGAATTTGGCCCAAAATTTTTAAATTTCAAACCGCTTGTCCAATTTCAACATGCTATACGTCGTTGGAAAGGTCTCGGAGAGTACGTATCATTTTTGGTATTAAACATCAAAATCGGCCAGCTTTTGGCCAAGATATGGCTGATTGAAGATTTCGGCCAAAAATTACAAACGGCCATATCTTGGCCAAACGCCGGCCGATTTTGATGTTTAATACCAAAAATCACATCTAATTTTCAAGACCTTTCCAATGACGTATAAAACTTTTTAATCCGATGGCCCGTTTAAGACTTCGATTTTGGCTCCCACAGCTCAAAGGCCAAAAGATGGCCATAGGCCGGCCAAATGTTATCTTCCAAATCATCCATTCGGTCAGAATTTCGATATATTTTCATATCCAATACTAAATTTCAAGTGAAAATGTTCAAAAAACGTAGAAACAAACGTTTCATAGGGGTATCCAAACTTATGGCCTGTGGTGTATATATACAAATTGTACGGTATCTGTAAAGTTTACCAACTGTTGATAGGTTTCATACTTTTCAATCAGCGCCTGTACGAGCTTGTAAGGCACCTCGGTGCAAAATTTCAGAATGCGCCTCATTGGATTTTGAAAAAAGGGTCCTTTGTTCTTTTTCAACCCTCAACGTGGTGAAAATTCATAAAATAATATTGAATGGAAAATTGTCATTTATTTTGTTCGCATTTTGGCCGTAATTTTTGTTATTCTTACGCTTCTTGCGCCCTGTAGCGCCGCACTCCCTGCACTCCCGCTCGGACACGCAGTGATTTTTATACAAAATTTACAGATACTGTACAATTTGTATATATATTATACGTCTAAGTCTATCTGTGTTGCCGAAACCGGACGGTTGCTGCAAGGGCAATATACTACAGGCGATTCTTGCGGCATCGATTGTAATCTGTTGCGAAATACATTGTAACACATAGGATATTACTATCGGTGCCACAAGGTATCACTAATGGTATATGCTCTTGCAGCAACGGTGTGGCCGAAACCATGCAAAAGCATCCAATTTGAGCTCTAAATAAACGATTTAATAAATTATTATTATTATTATTTGAAGTCATGGACAAACTTGAGAGGACAGCAAACATTTAAATGTATTCCTTATTTTTATACTCTTGCATATAAATATCATATAGAAATGGAAAATACAAGCAAAATTATTACTATCGGCAATTTCAAACATCAAACTTGGCCAAATTGTAGTCGATCCAAAAGTTTCCAACCATTAATAGCATCTACTTCCCTATACCTCGCATATCAAACTAATTTCTGTTCGTTAGTATACTCAATATGGTATGCGGGATATGTCGAAGGCCTTCAAAACCGAATTCAAACTTTACAAATACGAAATATTTCGCCACTTACTGCTCTCTTTTACCTTAAGGTACTGGTCCGCACGATTTAAGTGCTGAATACTGCATGGCGGGCTACCATGCTATTCATAGGTTTGACTTTTGTTTGTACGTGTATGTGTCCGTAGGCAACGAAACGTAAAATGTATTTGACGTACATACACACGGTTGCTCGTGCCATGCAGTATTCAGCACTTGAATCGTGCGGATCAGTATGTAAATGTATTGTTGAGTGCTCAATTCAATTTCGATTGCCACAAAATGATTTAAGATAATTTTAAATAAATCAATACGTCAAAAAAAGAGAACAAAACTAAAAATAAAAAATCAATCTTTTTTGATCCCATTCAATTAAAGTATACTTTCTTCATATATGAATAATTTGAGAGTGATGGATTTATGCCGTAGCAAGGCCTGCTTGTTTCTAGAAAGTCAAGCACATGCTAATAAACAGGAATCGAAACCAAACTAAACTGAACCATTTCGAACGTTCTGAAAAATGTTTATACTTGCGTGTATTAGTATACAACACTAGCACAGTGACAACACGGTTTAACGTTGCTCATACAAACCATTCTCAGAATGTTCCGCTTGATATGGTTTGCTCTGATGAACAGAGAGCAAAGCAGTGAAACCGTTCCGAAATCGGTTTGCATGAGAAACGTCAAACCGTTTTCAGCATCTGCTAATAAAGAGTGTATATTTACAGCATCCGAACTATTTTTAACAATACAAACACAATTTGATCAAATGACTACACAAATGGTTGTATTCACTAGAAAATTCTTGAAATTGAATGATTGAAAATAGATTTGGACATATGATCAGAACCGCGATAGCCCGCTAAAAATGAAATACTCACCTTTAAATATTTTTAAATCGAAAGAAGTCTCTTCCTCCATAAAGTAGTCACTGAAACATACTTTACTTTCAAAAATAATTTGCTTCTTATGTATTTTAAGTATAAAAAACCGAACCAACGAACTAGGCATATTTAAAAAAACAAAAATCACCAAAATTATCGGTGAACTTACTTACAATTTTCGGTGAACTTACGAACAATTTTTTTTTAATCTCAAATGTAATAGTTAGAGAAAAGAAGTAATTGCAAAGGAATTTTTGCCCAAAAATTAATACATCCAATGAATAGTTTTTTGTCAAAAGTCACCTCTACAATTGCTTTTCAAGAAAAAATTGTCTTTTATTGCTTTTCAGTGAAAAAGGGTGATTTCCTTCTCGATATGTAGTCTCAACAGCCGAAATGTGTAAACAAGTGTTAATCTATAACAATTATTTAACACTATGACTGTTCTTCATACTTTATACCTATTTCTGTTTCTTGGGGACTACAGGGCCCCATATATACTTCATATGAAATCTGGACTGACATAAGAGATAACAAATTAGTGTCTAATGCAGAGTTTTAATACTCGAGGTTTGCTATAATTTTGCTGCTCTCCTATCAGTTCCGCAAATAAACGCGAAAATCGCGAAATTTTCCCACCTCATTTTAAGTGAAGCTGATAAGAAGTAAAAGACTTGCCTCTTCGGCAGAAATGTGGAGCAGAGTTATTACAACTCTGCCACAGACACCAAGTCGTTATCTCTTATCAGTTACGCGAAAAAATGATGAGAAAAAATTCGCTTTTTTCACGGTTTTCGCGTAACTGATAAGAGAAAAGAGATAAAGACTTGATGTCTACGACGAAGTTGTAGTACATAAACTAGGCTACAACTCTACCACAGACACCAAGTCAATATCTCTTATCATAGTCCATTTATAATATAAAATAGTCATGGTGCCCTGTAGTCCCCAAGAAACAACAGCGTAACATGTTTTGCGGAATATGTCATTCGTGTAGAGAAATGTTCAATCTATACAATGAGACTTAACCTTGGTTGGTTTATACATATATAGTACTGTTTAGTACTTTTATTCAACTTTCAAGTTCGCTTGGGGCCCTGGATTCCCCAGAAACAGTCATAGTGTTAAAGCCAATAAGCAATCTGATGAAAAAAGATAGTTATGTACGTTGGTTTCAATCACACCTATATGTTCGCTGTTTCGGTTCATGGTTGATAGACCACAGCAACACACAAGGAATTAAAATCTATCATTGAACACATTGTTATGTAATAGTTCAGTGTGTGAAAGATGCATTGTCCACAAAGAACATGTGGTGTGATTAGTTTGGTTGCATTAACTTATGTCAACAGCGCGAGGTGTTAATACTCTCAAATTAGCAATGTATTAGTTTACTATGGATTTAAAAACAGTGTAGTAAATATGAATACATTGCTATTAGTGACATTTCTTAAGTAGGTATTTGTCTGTGAAGGTAAAAATGTCTAATCTCTTTGTTTAGTGTGGGATAGAAACATCGCATAAAAATATCGGTGCCGGTATTCTGGAACACAATCCGCAAAAATCATGCGGAATTATCTCGAACGTTCAATTGAATTTTTAGGAGTGGAAAGATAACGTTCAATCAACATCTCACATACATTTTTGAATTGAACGTTTCCCTTCCACTTCCAAAAATCCAACTGAACGTTCGAAATATTTCCGCATGATTTTTGCGGATTGTGTTCCAGAATACCGGCACTGATATTTTTCGCGCGTTGCGTTCCATTCCGTTCCGTGAGAATTGAAAGAAGAAGTGAGCGAGACATGTGTATGCACGCTTCGCGCAGCTCATCGTTAGTGTGGAGAGTTCAACACAAAAAAGCAATTCTGTAGACACAGAATCGCTGTTTTCGTTATACTCTTCACAATGACGACGATGACGATGAATGCAAATGCACGTACATGTCTTTCAACTCTCTTCGTGCTATATTCATGCAGTACACTGAACACAACGCGCGAAAAATATCAGATATTTTTCAACTCTGAATGAAAATTATCCCATATAGTATTCTTTGTTTAGTATAAGGCTAAATAGTGTCCAAATGTTCTTTGCCATTGTGTCTCGTACAATGACAATAAAATACCCGTACAATAACTGATATTCTTTCAGGAAACATTCCAATTGTCCAATTGTTCAATTCATACTATGAACAATACGCGAGGCTGCTTCCCAATATGTTTCATTTAGACCTAATTTATACCTTGAACCAGGAGAGAAGAATGGTTGAGATTTTTGGTACAATGGATTTTTTTTTCGTGAAAATAATCCAAAATTTCGATATCCAAGACAAAAAATTTTTTTAAGACAAAATTTGAATGGAAGATAATAAATTTTGTTCAAGATATCTTCAATTTGGATTATTTTTACGAAAAAAAAATCCATTGTACCAAAAATCTCAAATATTCTTCCCTGTGTGTATCTATCGAAAAATTATGCACATTTTGGCCTCTAATAATTACATATAATTTTTTTAAAATTAAAATTCATTCATCAAAAGTCGATTTAATTGAATGGTACATAGAAATAGGAACTTTCAATAAGCTCAGTGAGTTTCAATTTAACAAGTTAGTATGAATGATAATCAGAAGATTGTTGGCTGAACGCTAGTTAGCATTAGGACTCATTATTTTACAGATTGACTTGTAGTAATACACACAATGTCACACGAATCAATGGCATTTAGCAATTAAGCTTTGACATATTTGTATTTGACTTCGTATGTAATTTTACACAATTATTAAAATAAAAATGTGAAAAAAGAAACGAAATAAAAACGTGTCACTTTGCTTATTTAGTGTAACAGTGTATTCCATTCTATCATTCGATCCAGTATGTGAATCTTTATTAGACCAAGAGCCCACCGTACAAACAACTTTTTTTCTTGTGCACTGCAGAAATTCATAAAATTAACATCTTCCCAC